GGCGGCCCCCCCCCCCGAGCCGCCCGGCGGGGCCCGAGGGCCGCGGAGAGGGCACCGGGCCGCGCGCTGGTGGAGCGGGCAGCCCACTCCGAGCTCGGGGTCCCCGGACCATGAAGCCAGGGGACCCTCGAGCCCCTTCCCCGGGGGGCGGCGGGCGCGGACTGATTGACAGCAGCGACGTCAGCGCGGGGAGGGGGTGCGGCCCTGGAGGGAGGGAGGGAGGGAGGAGGAGGGAGCTGAGGCCCCAAAGTGCAGCCTCGGAGATCAAGGGCCTGCTCCAGAACCGGGATGTGTCCGACCACGAGGGCGCGGCGGGCAGCGGGACCCTGACCCAGCTGCCCCGAGTCGGAGTCCCGGCTGACCCGGGTTCTCGGACCCGAGCCTGCAGCGGACCTCGGGCCGCAGGCGCCAACGCATGCGGCAGCGCAGTTAGGGTGAGTGAGGGTCCCGGCGTGGGTGGGGTGAGTCGGGAGTGCGGGAGAGGGGCCACCCCGAAACCAGGGAGGATGAGCTGGAAAGGGGGAGAGTAACAGGACCTGGGTAAGAACCTCGGGGACAGTCAAGGCGGCAAGAGGACGGCGAGAAGAGTTTCTAATCCGGCTGCCGCCTCGGCCCGACTCCCAGCGGTCGGAGCTCCGAGCCCTTTTCTCCTCCTAGTAACCGGACGAATTGGGTCTAAGGGCCCAAGAACATAGAAACGACAGCGCCAGCGCCAAAGGAACAAGGTTAGGACGAGACAAGTGGAGCGGTGGCCTTGAAATTGGTGTTTGAAGAATAAGAAAGGCCAAGGAGGAGGGCCCAGGTACTTGGCGAATATCGATGTGGAAATGTTCGTGATCAGAACACTGGACTTCAGTGCCTTTGATGCAACAGGGTCGTCAAAATTAAAGCAAGGAGCATACTATATAAATAATGATCCATGATCAAGAATTATCAAAATATGAGCAATTTTCCAAAAAGCAGGGCTAAGCGGCATAACTAATACAGTACTCGGACTTTAAAACAACAATAAAATAATAGTCACTCTCAAAACCAAGTGAAAATTGTAATCACAAATTTGAGAGAATCATAGACAAAGTGATGGAACAATGTGATAAGAACTATTGTATTAAAATCAATAGAATAAGAAATAGTAATAGTGTAAAAATGATAAAACTGTAGGAAAAAGGTGAACAATGAAAATACTAATAAGGGAAATACTAATATTAGTAGTATTGACAGAATGCTATCATATCATTTATTATTGATACTATAGTGAATTATTAAAGTAAATGTTAACCAAAATCTTAAGAGCAATAGTAATATAAATAAAGACAGCAACAAGAATTACTGGAGTAATATGACAATTTATGACCAAGGTTTTAATAGTCCCAACAACATTATAAATAATGGTAGAGTAATAAGTATTGTACCAATGTGATGAAAAAACAAGAGTATTAAGAGCTACAACAATATTACAAATTATGACAAAGTAACAAGAAGTAATGATGCATTGAAAAATAACTAGCGAATTAAGATCCATAACATTACAAATAATGACAAAGTAACAAGATATTGTAACGATGTGATGAAGAATACCTGGAGTATTATGAACAATCCTAACAAAACAAATAATGGTAAAATAACGAGAAGTATAAGGATGTGAAGGAAATGAATGTGAATATTGAGAACAATAACACTACAAGTTATGGTAAATAAATTATTGAAACTGTGACAAAGTACAAACAGAGACTGAGGAGGCAGCACGGAAACATTTCAGGGATACAGAGTAAAAATAAAAATAATGAGAGATTAACATGACCTATTGGAAGACTATATTTAATAATTGCCTAGGTATTAGTAATAGTATTACTAATGTGCCAGGAGGCCCTAGAATGATGGAGCAGTGACAGGAAAGCAATAACAACATATTTGATAATGATGAATTAACAAATCAAACCAGTACTTTAACCATACAGTATTAAAAATAACATGTACTAATAGCTTGTGTGATAGAATAAGTAGTCTTAATGTTATTGAATTGACCAGAATACTACTCTGATAATAGAGATAATTAAAATGGTATACAAAATTAACAATTCCCCCAGTGCGAGAAGAGTATCACCAGTAATCTAGAAATGAAAAGAAAAATGCTGTTCTTCTTAAAAAAAAACGAGTCAACTGAAAGTGACGGACCCGAGCGCACAGGGCGCGGAGCCGGCCGGCCGCGTCCGCCGAGGGCTCCAGAAGAAGGGCGAGCGCGGCCCGCGCACCCCGGCTGGTGCGGGACCCGCTCTACTGGCGTCCCAGCGCGCCGGGGCTCGGGGTCCGAGGGGACCGGACAGCGGGGATGGCCGTGCCGGGCGGGAAGAAAAAGAAACGAGCGGGGAGCTCCAGCGAAGGCGAATCTCCGCGATGTCGGGATGTGGCTGCGTGGCGGAGAGAAAAGGAAGAGGCGAACCTCGAGTTGGGGAATGAAAGCCCAACGCAGCCCTTGTCCCGCGAGGGAGCAGCGGGACTGGCGTCAGTGGACGCCGGCCGCGGATGTGCTTGGCACCGGGCAGGACTGAGAGCGCGCGGCGCAAGCCGCGGGGAGCCGCTGCACAGCTCCGGGTGTGACAAGTGCCCGCAGAGGACCTAGTGGCCAAGACAGCATCGGGCCAGGCGGCCCCTCCTGGCCCCGCGGGCCGCAGCATCTGGACCAGCGGATCGCGGGTGCCCATCCCGGCTGACCCCAGATATAGTCGGAACCAGCGCGTTGGGCCAGAGCGCGCAACTACCCCCGTTGCGCAATGTCCCCTTGCCTGGGGTCTCCTGGGTTTCCAGGCTCGGCCCCGGAACCCGCGTGTGGCCCAAGGCCGGTGCTGGCGTTGGCCATGCCCGGCGAGTCTTCCTCCTCAGTGCCTGTGGCTGGAGGACCGACCCGGCTGTCAGCCTTATCTTTATGGGCTTTTCCCAGCCCCAACTGGCCCCGGCCCCTTTTTATCTCCTCGGTTGCACTTGGCTCGTTTACTTTGTGAGGCCCTGGGAGCCCATGTCTAGGTCTGGGATGGGAGGCCAGTGGTGAGGGGCCTGGGCCTTGGAATGCCCAGGGAGAGCCAGGAGAGGACAGAAAGAAGATAGGGGGAGAAAGAGGGAACCTTCAGCTGCAAGAAAGGCAGCCAGACATTTAGAAAGCCTCCCCAGAGCTTGCCCAGATCCAAATGGAGAAGAGCTAGGAGGTGGAAAGGGGAAGCAGGGATAATGCAGGTTTGCACCCACGGTGAGGCAGCACAGCCAGGTCCTTGCAGGCGGGACTCTCATCCTGATATCCCAGGACCAGCTTCCAGAAGGAAGCAGGCACATGAGCAGGCGGGTGAATAGTCCTAGTCGCTTGGGGAAGGGTAGCTGTGCCCTGGGGGCAGGAGTAGGCTGTGCCTGTCAACTGGCCTGGTCCTTAGCTGGGAAGGGTCTGAGTCCTTTGCCTCAAAGCAGAGCCCTTTGAAGCTAAAATCTAAAATGTGAGTGAGTGAGCCAGCCAGTGTGCATGTGAGGGCAAGGCTGGGGTGGCCCCTGGCTGAGTTCGGGGCCTGAATCAGAGTGGCCCTAGGAAAATGTGGCTACTTGGATGACTTGTAGGCTATGAGAGGGTGCTGTGTCTGTGTGTGAGGACGTGGGTGCCTGTGTATGTGCCACACAGGTAAACTGAGGGAGTGGGAACGTGCAGGAAGGAAAACCTTTGGTTCAGGAAGCCTCTACCTGACTGCTGTCTGAGGGAGTGGGTTTGGGCAGATGAGTGACCAGGGGCCTGAGAGGCCGCTTAGCCGAAGGCCCTCTCTTGCCACTGTGGAGCCCTGGGAGCCCAGGCCCTGCTCTCCTGGGCTGACTCTCCTCACCTCCCTACCCACAAGGTGTCCTGGCTGCCCTGGTCCAAGAGTGAGCCTGGACCCCAGTTATTGGGAACAGACGAAGAAGACCCAGGCTTCAGGGTCCACTGGAGTCCAGCAGGAGGAGGCACTGGGGGTGCAGCGGGGGCAATGCTGAGAGGGCGGTCCTTCCCCCAGACCTCTTCGTCACACAGCCCCACACCCAGGGCAGGAGGACCTGGAACCGCACACAGACCCTCCCAGGTCCAGACCCAGAGGGCGGAGGCGAGGGTCCTGCCCGCGCTAGTCTCCTCCAGCTCAGGAGGGGGCGGGGCCCACGTGCGCCAGGGCGGCCTCCCAGCAGTGCCCGAAGCACCCCCCACCGCCACCCGCGGCTCGGCTCCAGGGCTGCCGGGTCTCAGGCTCGTGTGGACATGGGCATGTGACTCGCGTGTTCTGTGCCCACAGGAGATGCTGCAGGATAAGGGCCTGTCGGAGAGCGAGGAGGCCTTCCGGGCCCCGGGCTCGGTGCTCGGCGAGGCCAGCGCGGCCAACGCCGCCAACGCCCCCGAGCCCGCGCTGGCCGCGCCGGGCCTCAGCGGAGCCGCGCTCGGCAGCCCCCCGGGCCCCGGCGCCGACGTCGCCACCGCTGCCGCCGCCGAGCAGGTAGGGCCGGGCCGGGCAGGCCGTCGGGTGGAGGTCGGGCGTCGGTTTGTCTGCAGGGCCGCCTGTGTCTGTCAACCGCCTCACTACGGGCGGGACTGTCTGCCTGTTCGCGCTCCCCTGGGCAGGGCTCGCCTTCTGCCCTTCGTCCTTCCTCCACCTCGAGCCCTTGAGGCTGCTCTGGGACAGGCCGGGGAGGGGAGACCGCGGGCGGAGCGAGCCCAGGAAAACAGTCCAGCTCCGACAACCCGAGAGGGCGGGGACAAAAACCTGGGACCAGGCGGGGTGAGTAGCCCCTGGCCGGGTGCTTGCGGGAGCCGCCGCCGAGCTCCGAGGCCGAGGGGACACCACCGTGACCATGTGCACGCCCTCTGCCTGTGCGGGTCTGCAGGAGGTGTCTGCGGGTGCGCGCCTCTGGCCGAGGGTGTGTGTGCCCATCCTGTGTTGGTGTGTCTGCCCGCAAGCCTGTGGCTATGTCGGGCCACGTGGAGTGTTTACGTTTGTGTAAGAGTGTGTCATCTACCCTGGCACGGTCGGTTAGTGTGTCCTCTGCGGGCCCGTCTGTAGGTGCAGCTCCGAAGAAGGGGATTTTAGCCACTGATTAAATTTTTTAAAATTCACCAATGGTACAGAATAATTTTTTGAAACGACATCTCGAGCCGTGGGCGCCTGGGGCTGGCAGTGTCCTGCGTGGTCCCTTGGGTCTGTGTTCCCCTTTCTGATGGCTCCGCATGGAGCCGTGGGCAGGGCGACACAAGCCCCCTCTCTCCCATCCCTAGACTATCGAGAACATCAAGGTGGGCCTGCATGAGAAGGAGCTCTGGAAGAAGTTTCACGAGGCGGGCACTGAGATGATCATCACCAAGGCGGGCAGGTCAGCGCCGGTTTTACTTCGGGGGGGGGGGTGACGGATGGGGGCAGTGGGGAGCCCCAGGGGCTCCCTCAGCAGTCCTCTCAGTCTTCAGCCCAGGGGGCGACGGGAGTCCCCTTCGCCATTCTGGCCTTAGCTCCAAGTCCTGCCACAGCATCAGAACTGGCCTCGGAAGCCCGCAGGGGGCTACACCACAAGGGAGAGGCATGGGATGGAGGGGGGGAGGGGCAGTGATATGCAAATGAAAGGCAAACAGGGTCGCGTTGCTGGAGGTCCCTGCTCCAGCACTTTGGGCCCCTGGGGGGCTGCTTTGTCCTCCTCCTTTTGGGGAGCTGCTGGGTTTCTCAGGATTGTATTGACTGGGGACCCTGAGATGCCCCTCAACAGACTGAGGAAAGGGTAATGGGACCATGTTTTCCTATTTCCATTACTTTTCCCGGGGCAGCTCGAACCCCAAGCCTCTCATCCCACGGGCGCCGCTCCGCCAGTCGCCAGCACCCTCGGCCAAGGGGAAGGCACAGTTGGGCCCTGTGTCTGTGTTGTTCGGGGAGTAACCCTCGGGTGGCTGCCAGAGAGGGATGATTTATAAAGTGGAACCATCTTTAAAATGTGCTGGTGTCTGTGGGAGAGAGCCTGGAGGAGAGGGAAA